AAAACAAAATATTTGAATTACTTTGAACATCTTGTGTAATTAATCTTTCCATGTAATAGTAGCATAAAACATTGTAAGTACTGTAGTGTAGTTATGCATGTAATGTACAAAGTATGAATAAAGACTTATCAAAATTGTACTTTATTAGCAATAGCAGTAAATCAAAACTAAAAATTAAGTGTAATTTAAATTCATTACTAATATATTAGCAGTATATTTAAAGTATATTAAAAGTATATTTTTAATATACTTCTATGACAGAATTAGTACACAAAATATCCTAATCAAACTCTTGAATACTAAGCATACTAAAAGTTCTAATTTAATGCTATTTAAATACTATTAAAATATACCAAGCACAAAAAAAGTTGTTCCAAAATAGTACAGTTTAAGTACATCAATCAAAGTATGTTAAAATTTAGCATACTACTAACATACACTTTTTTTTTACTAGGGACCACATTCCAAGTTCAACCAGGAGCCGAACCAGGAGGCTCCGCTGAAGCAAAACAACGACACACCAAGAGCTGGGGTCAAAGGTCAAAATGCACCAAAAATAAACAGTCAAAACTTTATTAAGGTAATAGTTACTGGAAACCATCAGCAAGTTTTACTGGACAAGATAAAAAAACAAGAACAGATTCAATGAAACATTCAGAAAATATATTCACTAATGAACTAGAATTCATTCTCTGATAATAAACAGAAAATAACCAAATGATAATCAGATAAACACATAATAAATACATAATTATCAGCCTGACAGACCTGAAAGTGTTTCATTGAACTGAGATCTTCCTGCAGACTAACTTTACCTAAAATATTAAGGTTCATTCAGTTTTTTAAATTTATAGAATAAAAATAGAAACCATTGCTAAATATGTCATTAAAACAGCTAAAATAAAATATAGTTTAAAAGAACAAACAGCCTGCTGCAGCCGTCAGAGCAGAACGTCCTATTTAAAACCCATATTCCCACAGAAAACGCATCACTTCAACATTCAGGCTTAAAAACTCATTTCACACATTACAGTAGCATAAAACCAGAGCAGCAGGTTGCTGGGAGCAACACCAGCTTCCTGTCAACGCTCAGTTTCAATCCCTCCGTCTGCGTTTACTTCCCGTCATCGCCTGCGGGGCCCCTTGTCCAGCAGACTGGGTGACAATCAGGGCTCTGTCCAGCGACTCGCTCTCGCCGTGCTGCAGCTGCTCCCTCCTCTCTCTGAAAGCGTTGGCATCGGACAGCAGCTGGTACTGCAGCTGGTGGAGCCATGGACCGCAGTACAGCCTGGAGGCAGGGCCAGGGGTCAGAGGTCAGCTAGAATACATCCTGTCTGACGATCAGCCGGGTGTTTACCTGCAGCAGTGCGGCTCTGGCAGAGGGAAGCACAGCAGCTGGTTCAGGTGGAGGCTCTGCCTCAGGCAGGTCAACCAGCGGCTGAAGGCATGAGCAGCACTGGCCTGCAGGGGGCGCTGAGCAGCCACCACGCCCGGCGTGGACCGGACCGCACTGCCTGGAACACGGACACACCATCCAACTGTCATCCAACCGTCATCCAACCATCATACGTCACCCAGCTGAGTCTCACCTCCATCAGTGTTTCCTTGCAGGAAGCCGAGGACCAGAGCCTGGAGGCAGGACGTGTTGAACCTGTCGGGGTTCTGCTGGTACCAGAACCGGGTCACACAGAGTGGCAGCTTCAGCTGGTCCGGGATGTGTTCAATGTCCAAGCCTGAACATCCCAGAGCTTCATACAAGACGGTGCGGCGCAGACCCTCAGGAGCCTGTGGAGGAACAGAGTCATGATTTCTTTGCACAGTTTTATTTTGGATCTTGATCCTTAGAAGAGAAGTTAACCTGGACCGCTGTTCAGTCTGGGGCTTAAAGGTGACCCCCTCACCGGACAAAGAAGCAACACAGAGGACCTCAGTGGATCCTTCATTCTACCCAATGTCTATTCCCTGTGCTACTGCAGAAGAGAGCATCCATCCCTCCCTTCCCTCTCCTTCCTCTAACTCTGTCATTCTGCCCAGTGAGGGACTCTGCTTGTCATAAAAGCCGCTCAGTTAGCCGTGAACACAGCGCCACAGACACTGGACCCATGTGGAAGGGCTTACTTATAGGCTTCACTTCTGGATCTCTGACCAATGGTTGGTAGTCGGTACCACACTGAGATCAATGAGCCACTCTTAGTCTAACCTCAGCAGCAACAAATGCAGCCCCCAGGATCAGTGGAGCACTGAGACCTGCGTAGGGCAGCATCGCCTCTGGAGGTGGGCATCGTCCAAAGAGAACGTTTATGTTTTACAAAGATGCAAACGATAGAAATAAAATACCACCAAGAACACAGCAGATTTTTTAGATTTTTAGAGACATTAGTTTGTTAGTTTGATCTCGTGACATGTTGGTATATCCCTAATGTGTTCCATCCTTGGCCTGTTCCATCTCTAACGTGTTCCAACCCTAACGTGTTCCATC